CAATACCCGCCGTGCTATACACGATACAGAACTCTCTGCAATACATCGCTGTCAGTAACCTGGACGCCGCGACGTTTCAGGTCACATACCAGCTCAAGATCCTGACGACGGCTATCTTCAGTGTGTTGATGCTGGGCAGAACACTTTCGGCGCGCAAGTGGCTCTCGCTGTTGCTTCTCATCATCGGTGTATCCGTCATACAAGTACCGCAAGCGACTGCGCCTTCACCACCACAAGCATCTGGTGCAAAGCCGTGGACCAAGACGCTGGAGCAGCTGCACGACCTTGGCGAGAATGTCGCAGGGCGGCTAGGGAAACGGTCTGGGTCATACGAGGGCATACACGCGGATCGCGCAGCCCAGATACCCCACATGAATTACCGGGTTGGGCTCATGGCTGTCCTGATCTCCTGCGCGCTTTCAGGCCTAGCCGGGGTTACCTTTGAGAAGATCTTGAAGGACTCAACGAGCGCCAAGCAGACGCCGCTCTGGGTCCGCAACTGCCAGCTCTGTTTCTGGTCGCTCTTTCCGTCGTTGTTCCTGGGCGTGATATGGAAAGATGGGGAGATCATAGCGAAGACTGGATTCTTCGTCGGCTACAACTGGGTGGTGTGGACGGCTATCGGTCTTCAAGCAGCTGGTGGCATTGTGGTCGCGCTCGTCATTAATTATGCCGATAATATCGCCAAGAACTTTGCGACATCGATCTCCATCTTGGTTAGTTGCATTGCAAGCGTTTACTTCTTTGACTTCAGGGTGACGCGATCAGTAAGTCTCTAGTGCCATAGTGAGGCTCATGATGCTGACCATCGGCAGTTCTTCCTAGGCACATGCGTCGTACTGTTCGCGACCTATCTTTACACCAAGCCTGAGCGGGGCTCGCAATCGCTGCCAGTCAGGATTGCCGACTTCGAGAAGACTACGGTGGATCGCACAATCGATACCAACAAGCCGCGGAGGTCATCAGTGTATGAGGCTGCTCCAAAAGCAGCACCGGAGTCGCCCTCTATAGAACGGCATTCCCATAAGCGAGATGCTTGAGCTTTAGTAATTTAGGGACCATTGATCGAGACGCCGATGATCTGCATGCATAACTCACAGAGATCCACGCGCTCACTACCTTCCTTGATCGAAGTTTGCCGTCGAGTGACTCCGCCAAATCCAGATGTGGCACGTCAGGCCGCGACTTCCTCCATCGTCACTTCCCTCTCATCGCAACTCTCACTTAACGCCCCACTTTAGATTCTGAGCTTTTCCCGCCACGCCTCTACTGTCAAAGAGCCTCTGATCAAGCCACATGTAGCAGTCATGGACGACGACCGCTATCCACATGATGGCTACGAGCAGTTCGGCGCTCCCCGTCGCATGTCGCAGTACGACATGCTTCGGCCTCAGTTCAAGCAGCCTGGAAGACCAGTCGCACCTCGGGATCGCTATCGCGCCACTCAATATGACGGCCCCCAGTATGACGTGGTTGAGGACGATAGCATGTACGACCGAGGTCAGCAACTCGATTCATTCGGTATGTGGTCCTCTCGCTTCCGCAAGTTCTTCGCTCATACTTGCAGATGACAGAGTGCTTCGACAACCATATGCTGACTTTCAGCGGCAAGCTGCACAAGGCACAAAGAGGTTGTCACTTGCACCAGGCCCTTCCACGTTCTTTAGTAATGCGGCGCCTACTCAATCGCAGCCGTCTTACCAGATTCGTGACCAGGATATGTATTATGAAGAAGGTACTTTAGCCTGGACTGCAGAGAGGCTCCTGCTGACTGAGAAGCAGACTACCATGCGCGTCCTGAGCAGGCCATGCGAGGTCAAATGAGTGAGTCGAAAGCACCTCTGTCTGCCATGGGTGGCTGTGGCCATGCTGATCGCCGTCCAGGTCGCTTTGCATACAATGCCGCTCCGCTTCAAGAGTCCAGTTCCGACATGCCTCTCGGCCCGTCTTCTAGTCCAGCACTCAGGGCAAGTCAGCGACGTGCCGAGCAAGTCACTGATTTCGGACCTCAACACGGCTCACAGGCCCCACCGTTCGAAGGCGACGGCCATGTTGATGCTGAAGAGTACCGACAACAACATGAGCGCTCCCATGGAAAGGCTGCACTGCCCAGTCTTCGACCACATGCTAGCCAGCAACGCGTATCCGCCGCACAGCACAGAGGCGACCTCAATCCTCCGCATCATCGACAAGCTCCCCCAGAGCCGCAGACGTACCCAGAAGATGTGCCTAGCGCTGCTCCCATGTGCCAAGGTATCCGCCTGGTCCCTGTCACTACCCTACCAGATCGTCTTCGAACGGTGTTTCCTTACCCGACCTTCAACGCCGTACAGTCCAAGTGTTTCGACCGAGTCTTCAGGACCGATGACAATTTCGTACTTGCATCCCCTACTGGCAGTGGGAAGACCGTCATTCTCGAGCTCGCTGTCTGTCGAGCTGTTGCCACCAACGCGACAGGTCAGTATAAGGTGGTCTATCAAGCACCGACAAAGGCTTTGTGCGCAGAACGCCAACGTGACTGGGAAGCCAAGTTCAACAAGCTGGGTCTCAAATGCGCCGAGCTGACCGGTGACAGCGACCTTGGGGATCTACGCAACGTACAGAGCGCCAACATCATCATAACAACACCCGAGAAGTGGGACAGCATGACTAGGAAGTGGAAAGACCACGAGAAACTGATGAGACTCATCCGCGTCTTTCTTATCGATGAGGTGCATATACTCAAGGAAGACCGTGGTGCCACGCTTGAGACGGTCGTGTCGCGGATGAAATCTATCGGCACGGATGTGCGCTTTGTGGCTTTATCAGCGACAGTGCCCAACTTCCATGACATTGCGGCATGGTTGGGAAAGAACTCGTCGGAACCAGATATCCCAGCCGCCAATGAGAAGTTTGGTGAAGAATTTCGCCCAGTCAAGCTGCGCAAGCACGTTCGAGGCTTTGCATACAACTCCAGCAACGAGTTCGGCTTTGAAAAGGTGCTTGATGCCAAGATCCCTGAGGTTATCGCTTCTCACTCCCAGCGTAAGCCTCTCATGGTCTTTTGCGCAACCCGAAACTCCACAGTGAGTACGGCGAAGCTGATAGCAAACTGGTGGGTCTCGGCATCAGACCGAGATCGCATGTGGAAGCCTCCGTCTAAGCCACCCCTGCTGCTGAACAAGGAGCTTCGAGATACCGTGTCTTCCGGTGTAGCCTTTCATCATGCCGGACTTGATCTCGATGATCGAACCAAGATCGAAAAAGGTTTCATCGCTGGCGAGATCAGTGTTATCTGCTGCACATCCACGCTCGCGGTCGGAGTCAACCTACCCTGTCATCTCGTCATCATCAAGAATACCATGGCCTGGGGTGCGGAAGGAATGCAAGAGTACTCGGACCTGGAGATGATGCAGATGCTGGGTCGCGCGGGACGGCCTCAGTACGATGACTCAGCTGTAGCAGTGATTATGACCAGGCAAGCCAAAGTCCGACGGTACGAAATGTTGGTCACAGGCCAGGATCTCATAGAAAGCAAACTCCATCTCAACTTGGTAGATCACATGAACGCCGAGATAGGACTTGGGACCATTAGCGACCTAGAGTCTGCCAGGAAATGGCTAAGGGGTACATTCCTTTACGTCCGACTACAGCAGAACCCTAGTTACTACAAACTGGACGGCGCTCGAAGTGGTCAAAGCATCGAGGAGCAAGTTGACGACATATGCTTCCGCGACATTACACTTTTGCGCGAGACTAATCTTGTGTCGGGGCAAGAGTACTTTCGATGCACCGAGTTTGGCCATGCTATGGCACGGTACTACGTACATTTCGAGACTATGAAAATCTTCATGGAACTCGGGCTGCGGTCAACTCCCTCGGAGATTGTAAGCTACACAGCCTTGGCGCTACTTGGAGGACCTTGCTGACATTCATACACAGCTCTCCGCCATCGCTCAAGCTGTTGAGTACTCTACAATACGCTTTCGTCAAGGCGAAAAGGCGTTCTACAAGCTGCTCAACAAGTCCGCTTCGATCCGCTGGGCTATCCCTGTCAACCTTGATCTACCATCGCAGAAGGTGTCTCTCATCGTACAATCCGTTCTTGGGTCTGCCGATATCTCCTGGGAAGGCGAGGCCGGCAAGCATCGTTCTCAATATACGACAGAGACACAGATCATCTTCAAGAATATTGGCAGTCTGATTCGATGTATCATCGACTGTCAGATTGCCTTAGGTGACTCCATCAGTATCCACAGTGCTCTCATGCTCGAGAGAAGTTTAGGCGCCAGGATTTGGGACGATAGCCCTCTCCAAATGAAGCAAATTGGAAGTATCGGCAACGTCGCTGTCAGGAAGCTCGTCAACGCTGGGCTGAAGTCCATGGAGGATCTTGAAGGTTGCGAGCCCTATCGGATCGAGGCACTCGTTAGTCGGAATCCCCCATTTGGCCTCGACGTGCTGGAGAAAGTCCGATCGTTCCCAAAGCTTCGCGTCTCACTACAAGCCCAGCCTTCGACAGCAAGTCTGCGATCTTTCTTTGCAGTGCATGTTCTAATGGCTTTTCAGGCTATCAAAACCCACGATGGGGTCAAGATCCAGATCAAGGCAGACATTGGCTTTATCAACGAGCAGCCGCCCCAACGCTTCAACAACAAATTCATATACGTGTGCCTTTTGGTGGACACTTCCGATGGCCGCAAGGTGCATTTTGCTCGCATCAGGTAGGCCATTACGATCTCGGTATCGCGCTGTACTAATCTTTGTCGCAGTGGCCCAAAGCTTGGGTCTGGCCAAAGCCTCACATTCCCAGCGCTCTTGACAAACCCCGACCAGTCAATCAACTGCTACGTCATGTGTGATGGCATAGGCATGTATTTCGGCTCGTTTATGAGAGCTAAGACTGACTTTAACAAGCTGGCAGTATGCGTGCCGCCGCCGTGAAGCCCCAGGTCGCTGCCTCTATGTTTCCAACCCCAAAGCGCTTGGAAACAGAGCGGCCAACATCACATCAGTCGAACATGTCAAAGCGACGCACGGATACTGCAAGGCCGAGCAGAAAGGTGTCCGCCACCAGCGATGACTATGGAGATGGTGATGTGGATGATGATGCTCTTGTCAACGCTTCCTTCCGTGATCTTGACTTTGATCACATCGAGAACTACGCCGACCCTATCGATTCCATCACACGGAAGAATACTGCGAAGAACAAAGTGACCAAGAAGAAGGATGACGGAAAGAGCAAACGACCGATTGATACTACTGCTGAACAAGACGATCCAGAGCCAGTACAGCTAGCTAATGGAAAGTGGGCCTGCAATCATCCATGCAAAGATCGAAGTGCATGCAAGCACCAGTGTTGCAAGACTGGTATGGATAAACCATCAAAGAAGAAAGCTGTCGCCAAACGCGTTCCATCGTGCGAAGATCGGCCTGAGCTGACACAGAGACCACCGCCGCCAAAAGGCAAAGAGAAGCAAACCAAGCTTCAGCTCACAGCATCTAAGAGGAAGGTCTCTGCGCCGATTGACGAGCTCGATCTCACGCAGCAAGAAAAGAAGCAGAGAGCTGACTATGGCACCAACGGACCCAGAGACTATCGCGGCCTGCATCAGCTGCATAAGACGATCCAGGGCAAAGAGCTTCCCTCTTCCCTTCATTCTGTCAAGTACACGAAGCCAGCCTATTGTTACTCCCAAGGTGGTGAGCATAGTCTTGACTTTATGGGCGGCTCCGCTCCTGAGCGGCATCCAACATCAAGCGATTACGGTGATTTTCGATTTGACGAGCCATCAGTCGACTTCGATCATCCTCAGCATCAGCCTGCGCAACAAGACTCAATCGGTGGCACACAAGAGCTGGAAGATTACATGGACTATGAGCCTGCAGCTCCTGTAGCCTCTCACGAATCTGACGCCTTTGACGATGACGACTCCGTCCTTCGAGAGGCTTTCATTGGGCTTGCAGATTCTCAAAATCGTCAGGAGATCCGTGAAAGCGACACTAATACCATGCAGCCCTTCGAAAACGTCATCGACGATGACTACATGGGTTACGGAGAAGGTGACAAGCCGATGGACTCTAGTTTGATCAATTCCGAAGATCACGTTCCGCAAAAGCCGGAGTTCAGTCATCCCGATCATCATCGCAAAGCAAAAATCAGGACCTCTCGATCGCCTTTCTTTGACAGCGAAGACAGTGCCGAAGCTAAGATTGCAAACACCATACCCGCAAAGGTATTCACGTCGCAAGATCTGCAACAACGGACGGCTACGCCACGCGAGCTGCATGAAGCCGGCGACCAACAAGACGCGTATGTCGACGACGAGGTGGCAGGCATGTTGAACATGTTCGGCGATGAGCCGACCGTTGTCTCACTGGTCGAGGAGAAGCCGGTACCCGAAGCTTTCAAGGGCCTAGAGCCGTGGTTGTTCCAAGAGTTCGGCGACATCGTGGAACTTGTTGATGACTAGAGGTGCTACATCTGGAGTCACTGCGGTGCAATAGATAGGCAACGTGGACATGTTTGGGGTGGCGAACGTAGTAAGTGCCAAATCTGGCGACCTCTAGACATCAACAATTGTTCCGTCTTTCCAATTCGCTTTGTGCCTATTCTGTTCAGTCACATCGTGAGGTTGTTTTCCACTCTACGAAAAGATGTTGAGCCAGAAGAATTCGCAACCCTAGCAACGATTAAGGTGCGCAGTTCCAACAGTGTGTATGCAATGCGCACTCTAGTCACACCTAGACTCAACCGGCGAGTTGGCGAGGCTGACCAAAGCAGCAACAGCATCATACTCTTTCGCTTCCATCTCTCTGGCCTCCGCCTCCTCCTTGACAACAGCCTCCATCTCGACATCCGGCAGGTGCGACAGAAACCACCGCCACTCCTCCAGCCCATCCGCATAATCCGACTCAGCCTCAATCCCCCTCTCCACCAATTTCCCCTTCATCACCTTATACCTCTCCACCATCCCAAACGTAATCTCCGGCACGAACACATCCCCCGACATCCCCAAAACACACCCATTCAACCTCGCCCTCAACGCCGGAAACATACGATTAAACTTCGACGCAAACGCGTTCCCCTCTCGCTCCACCCTCGGCGGTAATTGCTCTCCATTCCTCCCCTTGATCACCCTCCCCACAAACGTCTTATTAAACGCGTCCCTCACCTGCCTGCTCCCCGGAAGCATGATCCCGCGCTTCCTTGCTTCCACAATGGAGAGCTGGAAGTAGAGTTCGAACCACAGTTCCTCGGCTTCGTACCAGAGGCTCACCGAGCGGGCTTTTAGGCCGGCGCGCCCGTAGATCTGGTTGCGCCAGGCGTTTATCTGGGAGATGTGGTGGGGGTTGTGCCAGTCGATGAGGGAGTGCGGGATCTTGCGGAAGTGGAGTTCGGTTGTTTTGCGCGGGGTTATGTTGCTGTCGCAGAGCATGAGGAGGAGGGATTCGTCTTTGACGCCGAGGGTGGCTTTTTTGCGGGGGCCGCGGGGGATGAGCGTGGACTTTGAGATGGGTGTGTTGCGACTGGTGCTTTTAGGCTTTTCGGTGGTGACTGGGGCGCATTTTGTTGATATTTTGAGCTTCTTGGCTGGTGCTGTGAGGGTTGGGTTGGTCTGCTCCTCCGCGCAGCGTTTGCGCTTCTGTGTGGTGAAGGACATGACGGAAGGCTGTGCCTGTAGCTCGAGTTTCATTGTCTGGGTTGGGGTATGAACGGAGGCGCGAATTTCGGAAGCGCCTCTGATCCCTTTGCGCAAGGTAGGCATCTTGCTTGCTGTGTGAGTTGACACGCGAAAGCACCAAATCCAATGTGAAAATCGAATACCCTGCAGTCTACCTTCACGCCGAAACGTGAGTTAGAGAACTGTTGACTCGATGTAGACTTCTGGGTTGTTTACCTCCTGTGGGTTGTGTTGATATGGTCGGAGCGGTGTTGTGTTGTATGGTTTGGATGGTTGCGAAGAAGAGCCAGGGAAGTCTGAATGAGAGACAAGATGCGACGTAGAGCCAAGCTTGCAAAATTGCGCGATGGCGAGTGGTGACTGGAAGAGTTTTCATGGGAAGCGCGGAGGTGAAAGAGGACGCGCAGTGTACGCGTTGTTGTTTACACTCGTCGATGACGCCGCGGCGCCGTCAACACTGGGTGTTGTCGTCCTGATTCAGAAAAAGTGAACGTAGGATAAGACAAGACCAAGAGACTCAAGAAGTCCGGAACAATGGTATCTGACTGAGAGATCAAAGATCGCGAAGGATGTTTATGGTGACTGCGCGCTTTTGACTGACGTCACCGCAGCAGCAGAAAGACTCTCAGTTTCACTTCCAGGAAGCAAATACGCAAATTGCGATTTTTCTGGATCCAGGCCTGGGAAAGTGTGCGAAAGTTTTGGCTCATAGCCCGATAGACATGACGAGGGCCACTTGTAAAATACGCGTTCTTGATAGTCTCCTTTTATGTGACATGCTACCAGTGATGATTGGGGGAAAGTTTCAACCTAAAACGCCAGTCCAGGCGTGCTGCGTGGATGCAGTGCTTCTTCACTCCCCTGCTCGTTCGTTCGCAGAACTCGCTTATAGGGCTCCGCCCGCATCATGTGGCCGCCGCCTGCGGTCTCCATATCAAGACGAACTGACGTTATCTCAACGTTGTGGTGTTCCGAACGACGACGAAGAGCATTGAAGGCTGGAGCGCAGCCAATAATGACTGCCATCGAAGTCTCAATGACGGTCCACATTTGCAACCACTTTGGGTCTGGTATCTTTGGCAGACCGTCTTTGACGCTGACTTGAACCACACGAAGCGTGGCGAAGACCTACCAACAGTAGTGTAAGTATATTTATTGGAAGGCGGGAAATGTTTCGTTGAGTACATACGATGCAAATCCAGCCGCTCCCGAACAGGATGAAGATGCCGAGCTTTTGGGCCCTAGGTAGCCGAAGGTTCCACGTCATGCGAAACGGAAGGAACATTACTGCACTGGTCAGTACAATTCCTTAGTCGATAAAATTGGCATACGGACCTGCGAGATCACCAGCTACATCTACTGCGTACGCGAACCATAGGCTGAACTGTGCGCGTTTCTGCTCATTCGGTTTCGCGCACATACCGTAGTTGTACTTCGCCTTTTGGTCGTCGCAGACGAAGATGGTTGTCATAGCACTTCCCACATAAGACTGTTCGAGTGTTAGTAATGAGCGCTAAACGATGGTCATGCGTCTTACTTACCGAAACACAAAAGGCCAAGATCGTCCACCACATGATGTTATACTTTGGCGAGGCTTTGTTCAACAGAAGCCGGTATAGGGCTAACAGTGATAGCTTTACTGCTGTCAGAGACGAATAGTACAACAACTGGCCAGCTGTCAGCCATCGATAGACCATTCCTGCATCACGAACTTAAGACAGTCAGCATGCCGTTTTGTCTGCGTATGGAAAGATGATTGTACGCACGAAGCCCTGGATGCAACGGCGCCTCGCCTCTCTGAACACGCTCGGCTCGATAAAGCGGGTCGTTCTCTTTGAAGAACATGACGAGCATTGCGACATAGAAAACATAAGACAGACAGCAAAAGAAGTCTTGCAGCTCGAATGTTCTCCGCTTGAATAATCGAATGGCAATGCGCGCGACGAAGATCAAAGACGTCAGAGTCAGCATGGCGGTGTTGATGCCTTCTAGTTCGCGTCTGCTCATCGTTGCGGGAGGTGCATTCTTGTCCCAAGTGACATCTGCAAGTTGTTGGGAAGTCATGGTGTCGGGTCTGGGTATATCGGAAGTGTGTTGTCGAACATCCGACGCGGTGAGCGTTCCAGTACTGATGTCGCCAGGTATTTGGGTGCTCAGGTGTGGAGCGATCAATGAAGTAGCGGAAAGTCTGGATCAATAGCACCAACAGGAAGGTATGTATACATCAGATCAAGTATTCAATATCTGACCGCTTGCGAAGCGGAGCCACACGATGAGTATTCTTGTAAGCGCCTGTCTACCTTGATAGGACTGATCTGCCGTACAGGGTACTTTGCGACGTGGGTCTGTATTACTGCATATCTCACGAAGACCAGTATTGCACAACCCAGTTGCGCAGACACAACGTGCACTGCCATCGTGCGACCAGTCTAGCATAAGTGGTAGAGCCCATGGTTACCTCGTCGGTGGCATTCGATAGCGCACCACTTTAAACATCTCTTTTCCAGGCGTTTGAAGATGTCGTCCAGCGGAGCCTGGAGGTACCTGCAGTCTCGTTCACAGTCTGGTGGGGGCGATGTTACCGAGAGTAAGGTTCTCATTTCCAGGGTCGTCCCGCCTCCGCCGCTCGGCCGGCACAGCCATCCCCGTTCCGAGCATCCTTCTGCTATCAGAGCGCATCGCAGGCCGGTTTTGATTCATCTCCTTTTCGGAATCAATGTCGTTGTGGCCTTGAAAGTGCTATACCTAGGTAGGCTGCTTGTTCGTGTAAACTTCATAGCGGCGAGGGATTGCGCGACGCGACTTTCCCAAAACTACACTAGGCCAGATTGGGAATAGCCGATAGCCTCCCCCAGGTGCTCATTCCGTGCAGGATACGGCAAGGCTTCGCTCACAACATCGCCACAATCCCGCAGGATCCAACCGTCTTCTTGCAGGAGGCTTAGCATTGCGCCAATCATCGGACACGTATCTCAAATTAGATGCTTACAGCCAAGCGAGGTGCAGAAGGATGCGGCGCACTGGTATGCTGTCAAAGAGGCCCCCAAGTGAGAGGGCCCCGGCCCCCCAGACCTCGACGCGCCCTTGGGACCCAAACGCGCAGGTTATCGCTCACGAACGCGCTGCCAAGTGACCTACCTCGCAGAATTGGTTGCAGCTATCAGCAGCGATGAAGGTCATATGTCTTGTTTCCATTGCAGCTCTTGCAGCCGGTGTGGGAGCACAAGCCAGCGGCGCTGCTTTTGAGCCGCAAGACTTCAACATTACTGCGGCTCTCGAAAACCTCGGCGTTGACGTCTCTGCTCTGCCAGAACCTGCGAATGCACTCAATGCCCGTGCCTCAGATGCGCAATGCTCACATGCTGTAAGCCTTGTCACAATATGACGAAGTAAGGGTTGCGCAAGCTGACAGACTCTAGTGTACTGCGTTGACGATACTCTTCGGCACCGACAAGGTCTTGGCTGAAGGAGCAACCACATATAGCAACTTCACCGGAGGATACTGGTCTGCTCAACAAGGTCTAGTACGACCCTCTTGTGTTTTCAAGCCCACGAAGACAACTGAGGTCTCAACATTGGTGCTTGCGGCTAGACTATACCAATGCCCCTTCGCCGTAAAAGGCGGTGGCCATGCAGCGTGGGCCGGCGCATCTAGTATCGAAGATGGAATCACGGTATCGCTTGAAAACTTCAAGCAGGCTGTTGTTGCTTCAGACAAGCAGACGGTCGACATCGGTCCTGGACTTCGATGGATAGACGTCTACAATGCTGTCGAGAAAGACGGTCTGAGTGTCGCAGGAGGACGTGTAAGTCTACGCATCTGCGCCAATTTTATGGTTCTGCCACTGATCATAGAACTAGATGGCCCCCGTTGGCGTGCCCGGCCTCATTCTCGGAGGCGGCATATCTCACTTCGCGAGCAAGCGCGGTTGGGCTTGTGATAATGTGGCGAGTTTCGAATTAGTCACAGCTTCCGGTATCGCGATCAACGTCAGCGCGACTACTTATCCCGATCTATACTGGGCACTGAGAGGAGGCGGCAACAACTTCGGAATCGTTACAAGCTTCAAGCTTGATGCCTTCCCTCTTGGCCAGATGTGGGGAGGCCAGCGGGTGTACCTCGAAGATGCATACCCCGCTGTGCTTGATGCGATTCATCAGTTCACAGTCTCCGGTTCTGCCAAGGATGAAGATGCCGCCCAGATTGTGGTAAGTGTGCTGAGTTCACTGCTCATGTGCGGAAAGCTGATGTGTCCAGACTTTCGCCAGCGCGCCCGGGATCGGCAAGGTCGCTTTCGCCAACCTCCACTACGCCAAGCCTATTGCGAACGCGCCTGTCTTCTCGAGTTGGGGTAACATCACTGCCATCGATGACACGACTGGCCTTCGCCCAATGTCCGGCATGGCCGATCTCCTCAATCAGGGTGCTCCTGCTCCTGGTGCTTTCCAGACCTGGTGGGGCATTAGTCTGAGGATGGACAGGGAACTGCTCAAGTTCATCGTCGATACGTTCTATACGCAAGAAGCCACCGTCGCAGACGTCGAGAAGATCCTGCTCATCATGGCTATCCAGCCTATCACCGAAAGCGCGACCAAGGCCATGCAAAAGAACGGTGGAAATGCTCTAGGCATCGATCCAGCAAACGGCCCATACTTCGTGCTCAACTTCAACGCTGCCTGGAACAACAAAGAAGACGAGCCCAAGTTTCACAGTGTGATTGCCAACATCATCAAACTTGTGAAAGCGGAAGCGAAGCGGAGGAACCTGGACAACGACTTTGTGTATCTGAACTACGCATCCGAATACCAAGACCCCATCGGCAGCTACGGAGCGAAGAACAAGCAACGGCTGATGAAGATATCCAAGAAGTACGATCCGAAACAGGTCTTCCAATACCTGCAACCGGGTGGCTTCAAGCTTGTCAAAGGCGCGCCGAACCCGAATACTCCGTACGTACCAGTTGCAATTGATCATGAGCTCTAAAACGAGCCGTTATTGACGCGTGGTAGTGGCTCTTAGTTGTCTTGCACTGCGCAGACGACGGACGGGGAAACCAAGCGGTAGCTGCCTCTACGGGTGAAGTGTGGGTGGAAGAACTGTAACAAAAGGATATCTGAGCACTCAGAACTTTACCTTGTCGTTGCTTCGCGTTCAAAGCGTATGCGATCTTATCCATCTTCGAACTGACGATTTGTGTGCGATGCGGTGAAAGTACAACCTGTCACATGACCGTCACATTCACGCTAGATCGACGGAAACTCTGACGGGTACAGCTGGATTCCAGGTCCGTGCTGAGCATTTGTAGTCGTTCTCTTAGCGATCTGCAGCTCGTGGAACCTCCAAGTGTTGACTCTTCTACCTTCCCTTCAGCCTACCTGCCAAGGCGCGTAACCAGATCAGGACTAGCGTCTCCTCCAAGCGGCATCATCAACACCCGCAGTCTCGACAAGCCGTCGTTTTACCGATAGCTGCGTCAACGCTGGACTCGCGAGTATGGCCTTTACGTTCCGTAAGATCATCCTCTTCGCACTCCTCATCGCCATCCTACTCCACGAGCCTACATTCAAGCTCTTCGTCAACCTGCTCGTCAACGCACACATTTTCTCGCGCATCACTCTCGATATCATATGCACCCTTGTCTGTGCGCACTTCCCGGAGGTCGCCTCCTTCACCACGGCCGCGTTTTACGAGCTACGCGCTTTCGTGTTGCAGCGGTATGAGTGGGTCATATCAGGACTTGCGTCACTGGGATACAATGTACTCGCACTTTTGGCGAGCTGGATAATCACTTGGCTGAAGGAGAGCCCGCAATGGTTGTGTGAGATGAATGAGTTCATTGTTGCTATCGGAGAGGGGGCGTTGTGGAGACTCCAGGGCGACGATGATGGGAAGATGATGGAGGGCTGGATACACGCGGCGGAGAGGTTGACGGAATCTTGTGCAAGGGTACGATCTGGAAGCTGAACAGAATTGGACACAGCTTTGTTTAATTCTTTGTCTCTATGCTTTGATGAGCAATGAGGGGCGCAAAGTGAGAACTCAAAATTGGATTGAGAGAATTATCAACTAAGACATCTTCGACAAGATGCGACATTATTTCATCGATGGGAACATAGTGAACAAATGCTCTTAAAAGAACCATTATCTATCGATGAATGGTGACAGGAAGGGGGTAGAATGAGGCAATCGAATCTGAAACAACATGAACCAAGGAAAGAATGGAGACATGACCGGAGAACGCCAAAGCGCGCGTTAAAACGCTAACCCGGTGCGAAGGTACCTCAATCGATACTACCCCAGGGTATAGGCAGGAGGCGTGGAAAAGATGCAGATGACCGTGTGGACGAAACATTAAATGGAGCCGCGCCGGCGATTCTTGCGAGGCCCGTCTTCCGAATCGTCTCTCTTGCGCTTGGTGTCTGTGCCGTTTGTACGAGGCTGACCGGTTTCCGTGGACCGCTGCGCAGGGCTACGGCCATTCGTAGCGCCTCGAAGATCCTGGACTGCTTGGTCCCCGGATGGAAGAGTCGGACGAGCTGGAGGTGGATGCGTGATGGTCTGTGGAGCGGGCTGTGATGCTGGCCCCGTCGCACCCTGCCGACGTCCTGTATCACGATAATCTGGCGGTGGTTGAGTCCGTAACCGATCAGACCGTCTAAACTCTGCGCGCGGGCCAGTGGGCGGATTGAAGCTCGGGTGAGCCGTCAGGGGCTGTGCTGGCTGCACACCCGGTGGTGTAGGATTGGCGACTGCCGAATTTGACAATGAGCTAGAGGGAGGAAACAGCCCGTACGGATTCGTCGCTTGGAATGTTTGAGCCAAAGTTGACACTCCTATAATGTCTTGCTGACTCCTCTGCTGCACAGCCCTCTGCACATCAGCGATGTGAGCCCTTCCTATGAGGCGCATGATATTATCCGGCCGGAAGGTGACGATATTCTCGGTATCCATTGCAGAGAATGCCATCCAGTATGCGCTGGAAGAGACGCGAAGAGTCGGAAGTCCGGCTGTGTTTGAAGGCGGTGGTCGACCTTCCACATGGATCAAGAAATATCTCGACACCTCGCCCGATTTCTTAATCTTTTCTTGGAGCGTGTTGTTACAGCTGGTGATTCTGAATCCAGTCCGCCTCTCGCCAGTCCCGCCAGTAACCACGACCCTGGTGGTCTTTGAGCTGTGGAGACCTCCCGATGAAGGCGTGGTCTTGCCGTCGCCTAAGAACGCGTCTCGGTTGCCGGTTGGGCCCATCTCATGAATTTCCCAGATGTCACCGACTTGTACAGAGTTGGAGTCAATGAGATCTGTCTTTTCGTCTTCGCCCTCGTAAACGACGTTGAAACCTACTACTGGTTTATTACAGTCAGGCTTTTTGAAAAGAACGAATTTGCTGGCAGCGATTACTTCCTCGATGTCGTCGAAATTCGGTGGGTCATTGTTGCGCAAAGACGGCGGTGGATGATATCTAGCACGGTCGTGAGCTAGTTGGAGTGTGTGGTTCTCATCCGTGTTCACCACGCGATTGTTGAACTCATTAACACCTGCTGGGGGCGTCTCAGATGCCGCATCTTGGACCCGTGAAGAAGCACCATTCAGCGGGTAAGTTGATGCGCGCTCGCGTGAATCCCGCTCGTATCGATGGGTACCACGTGTGTATGCAGTATCGAGCTCGACGGAGAGATCAAACTGCGCGGCATCCGGAGAGTTCCGCTGATCAGTCTGTCTCCTCTGATTTGCGATCGGGGTAGGGTCTCGACGACCTCGATACTCCGGACTCGGGCGCCGCTGATCTTGTTCGCGCCTAAAACTCCGACCGCGTGGTACCGGAGATACAGACCGAGTATGGTCACGTTGCCTACGGTTCGGGGAAGGGGATCGCTGTCGATTGTGCCGTCGATCATACGTGGGGGTCCAGAGGTCAGGATCTCCTCTAATATGACCGCGACCCTGACCCAAGTCCTGCCGCCGCCGACGGTCATCATTGGTACGATATCTTCGGTTGTCACGTTGACCTGGCCCTGTTTGTCGTCAGAAATGCAGCTATTAAGCAGTGTAGAACCTATCATACTTCGTTGATCCTCTCTCCTCGCCATGTTTGGTTTATGGAATTCTCCCCAACCCGAGGTTCCAGATTAGGTGATCAGCTTGGAGGGGGCGGGCTGGCGTGGCGGTTGCTGGGTCTTGGTTGAGAACCATGCAAGGGTGTAAATGCCCGGCGAAGATCCGTCACAGGTCGTATGGCGAGTGAACAGGCCATGGTTTCTTACTTTCATTAGGCTGGCGATCCGTGTAGAATTGAACGTGCGTGCTCGGACGTGGTCCTTATCTTGGCATAGGTAGGGAGTGAAAGCTCAACCCTCCCCTTGCTCTGCTATGTTGCGCTCGTCCAACGCTTCAATACAATCCCGTTCTCGTCACCTACTGGAATATGCATAAATTTGTTTAGATTATGATGGAGAGACATGTCCCGACTGACTAATCGATGATGACACAATGTCGAGAACCTGGATTATCGTGTCTTTGAGGCGTCAAACATGAAAGGCTTTGTCTATCAAACGCCCTTGTGGCTTTGATCCAGTCACTTCCACAGCCTGCTCACCTCTTGCCTTGGGTTTCATTAACAAACGGTCGAAAGTTGTTTAGTAGTCTGCACCCATGGTAGACCACACGCCCAGAATGTCTCGTCCCATCATACGGAAGAGCATCACCTACTTTTTGAAGAGACGGGGACCTGCACAAAAGAGGAGCAGCCATCTTACCAAGCGAATGCAAGGCGACGAGAAGCAAGCTCGACTTGACCGAGACGACAAGCACGATTTTCGGGACGAAACGGATCCACCTTCACACCGCGCGGAGCCTTTGCAAAAGTCAGGCAAACCTCATATAGTAGATGATGACCCACATCCTCTGCTAGCAGGCGAGAACGAAGACTTGCCGCAACAAAACGCGCTTGTCTTGTTCGATAAAGGTATCCGATCGGAGCCGTCAGATGACAGCAGTGTGGGAGCGAGTGGGTTATGGTCTGTTCTTAGAGATGGAGATGGTAATCTTTTTTGCCAGTGCGAATTGGAGGGCTGCCAGCGTTGCTATCCAGGCAATGACCACGCCGCTTATTGCGGCTTATCGTCCTGCAAGGATTGCGCAGATCTCGGTCCAGGATACGATGAATGGCACGTCTGTCAAACCGCGCCAAATACTCACATTTTCACGTCTGGAGTCTCCGTTTTGGCTCGGACTTTTGACGGAAAGAAGAACGTTCTGTGCCTCGTACTCGCCCGTCGACTGCTTGAAGCGATACGGAACGCGGTTGTTGAAGGTCGTGGGTATCGTAAAACGAAGAAGCGGATTGATGCGGAGCTGGATATCACGAGCAAAGACGCGCAACCCGCTTGGAAAGACTACCAACGTGCGATAACAGATCTCAGGGAGCTAAAGAAAGAATTGGGTTTTGCATATCTTCCACATTTCCAGGAGCGAGCACATCTGATAGACGCGAGAAAAAATGTCCGACGCGCACAACTCCGCTATCGAGCTATCAAGACCCGGGAACGGCGGCTGAAAAGCAGACTCAAAGACGCAGAATACTTCTGGTGGACTAGCTTGTGGGATCTTGATCATTACAACCAAATCATCTTGGAAGAAGCTGGAGTTGTACAAGATGACGGAGAGAGGCACTGGGGAGCAAATGACTATAGGTACCACCACAGAATTCGCTCACGATATTACGGGGACGATGACGTGTATAACGGTGAAGATACCAATACCGAAAGCTCTTCTCGTGAATTGAACTACACCGGAGGATCAACGCAAAATGAAGCGGCCGTATTCAGGAATGAATGGATGGAATATCTTGCCGGTTTCGAAGCGAGGCTCCAGTATGCGAGACAGCAGTACGACGAGGCCCGAGGGAATCACGGGCCTTTACTGGCCTACTACTGCCACGACAACCCTGGCCGCGACTTGGAGGAACTGAAGGACGAATATGGCCCGCAGTTTCTTCAGCGCACACGCGAACGTATAAAGACGATTCAGGAAGCGGAAGAAGCATTGGCAAACGCAAGGGTGGAGGCCTGGGGAGCTGGAATCGACCCGTATGCGGAAAATGATTACGATCTGAAATGCGATGAGAAGGTTCAGGAGTACTTGATCGCGCAAGACGTTGAAAAGTTGATAGCCAATGTCGACCGCGGAAAGATCACTCGGTGGTTGGAAAACTACCGAAGATACGAGCCATGGCCAGTACTGGAGCTAGACTCTGACGGCGGGTTCGGGTCAGAGACTGCTTCCATAGCATCTGGATCTTCGATTGGAAGCTCAGATTCAGCGGGAAGCCAATCATGTGATAGGATGAGCTCGAGACCACACCATCACAGCCGTAAGAGGAGCAAGCTGATGGTAGGCGATGTGAATCTGGATAGCATCAGCGTGTTCAATGATTATGACTACATACGGCGAAATATTGATAGTTGGGCAACCGAGAAGCGAGGTGGGTATCTGTGATCTGTATTCAAGCAGCGATAAGGCGTTGTTTTTCGGGTCTGGACGACTTGGTGGACATCGCATGATACATCGAACCCCGATTTCTCGACGTTTCTAGTCAATTGAGGCCTCCTAAGCAATATCGTCGATACTGCCGTAGATGCTCGTGAATGGCTGAAGAGGGGTTTGAACGACCTCTCGCTGGTATCTGAAGGGTGGCGGACAAATTGCAGCGGAAGTCGGAGTCGAGTACTGCGGAATGCAGGCTTGGGTCTGGGCCACCCGACATGATACTGGGCGATACTGTTCCATGTCGTCTACTTGTGATGTTGTCAGAGTAAAGAGGTTGGGATGGCTGAACGCGCCTCAAGCAAAGGAATGATGACGGCATCGAGCTAAAGCCTTCGTCCGTGCTTTCGGCTAGCGCTGGGATCCCGAGTTCGGCACACGTTCCAAGCCTCACACCACATCTCAACACTTCAGCCTTGCACTCAGCCTGACGCTACTTCACATTCCAAATCGGTATCGGGTTCTTCGCTAAACCTTCGGGGGTCGACACGTTCTCAACACTCAGGGGATGTGTTTACCGCTCAATCCGCCAGCTGTGTTGCATACCCCGAGCTGACCTCGCATTGTCACAGCGTCAAGTGTCGCGTCAAGGCCCGAGTTGGCCAGCAGTTTGTATCTCCTTATGGTTTACTGGAAAAAGTGTCAGCCTACGTAGTTGTGCATCCCCGGACGTCACGATAGATTTATTGAAAGAGGTTGGTTCTCTCAAGTAGCGTACTCGCGATTGGACGGTCGCCCTTGTGTCCGACGCAAGGGAATTTATCGTTGTCCATACACCAGGTGTGGCTTCGCGACGCGATTGGCTGTGCGCGTCGAAATTACGGTGAGATCGCATCCCTGCAAAATCGCAGGACGCTCGCAGCATCGCTCGTAGGGCTGTGTGCTAGGGCTGACATGGAAACCTGACAATTGTTGGTGATACTGTTTCATCCGGGAGCTACGTCTGCCGTTTTCCCCTATCGAGACATCGGCTCGACGAGCGCGCAGCCATTACCGCTACTCCTGTCGACTCATTGTGAGCCTTGCTGATCGTTACAGCACCTATGCAGGCACTGTGCGCGCGTTAGTCAGCGTCGTTTCCAGCACCATGGACGCAATGAGACATGCCCGGCGGCTCGGAACCGAGATACCTGATGCATGTCCCACGCTCGCGGGGGAAAGTTGCCTATCAATGGAGAGTCGGCACACACCTCGGGCGCGCAGAGATACACAAACACCCACTGAAATCATTCTAGCCAGATTCCATCCTCGCGTGGATCCTAGTACGGCATCAATCTGTTCTCGAACCTCGCTGGTGTTGCGCCCGTGTCCATTGCCCTTCCTGTAGACTGAACCGGGATGCAGAACGACCCATAGGTGTAGGTATACAGCTCCAAAATTATCATCCCATGAGCTGAACACGCAGATGGAACGTTTCACATGTCTTGGGTGCTACTCCTGTCAGTCTGCAAAGAAACGCTTGATCAGACCATCGCTAACGCCGCACGGTGATGGTACCAAGATGTGAGAGGCGTCGTAGCACCACCACCATATGCAGGCAGATTCGGCGAAGAAGTTGCTCACCTCCAAACCATCACCAGATGACCGTTTACTGGTAATATGACAAGACAAGAAGTCGGTCAGGCTTCCACCCGTAGTCAGCTTGAATAGGCTAGCCGGCCGCCCCCAGGCTAATCTAGTTGCGCGCATTGGCCGTCTGAGCCGTTTCCAGAGAACGAGAGCCTCCCTACTGCGTCGCGTCCCAACCCAACACTCTAACTCGTCGTCAGTCCCTGTCTGCAGCTGAAGACGCAAGCCAGTGCAGCTGCAGCCGATCGCCGTTGTATCTGCCTCTCCGCTTGATGACGGCCGCGAGCATGGGTTCGGAAGCTCCGCGGCAAGCTGATTCGCAGCGGCATGGCGAGCGGGGGCCCTGCGGCAGCGCCGAGCAACGCCTCGTGTCTGACTGACCCACTTCTTTTCTTACAGGCTCTCGAAATACCACACCATACATGGCAGCTGTATGAAGCTTCGTTGGGGGCTGAGAATTCCATCGTCATCCCAAATCATTTATTAACGACTGAGCCCCCAATGGACGCCGTACGCCCCAAGAAGCATAGCCAGCCCCTGAGCATTTGGGCCGCGGCACAGAATTGACAATGGCATCGAATGGTACTCACAACGACTTCATCAACATCACCACTCCACATTCTAGGGCGCCCAGCATGGTTCAAGAGACGCCTGCTCCTGCCCCACGGCCACGCTTGCCGGTCAGAAAACAAGCTCCTCAGAGGAACATCGACGAGTTCTGGAACAAATTTACGACCAAACACCCCGGTAAGATCTTTACAATCTTACCCGACAATCTGTATGCGAAACGTGCCGCCGCACATGCGCCGAGAGGTTCCATACCTGGGGTCAATGCGCTTGCATCCTACGAGGAGGCCAAGGAAGCCTGCACCAGAAAGGTCGCAAAGATCGTCAAAGAATGCCGACGACTGAACCAAAAGTATCGAGATCCACATTTCGATATAGAGGCCGACTTCAAACGGTCGCAGCTTATTCC